TGGGTGCCCCCGGGGGTGGGGGGGGGGGGACACGACAACACACCACTTCCCCCACCAGCAGACAGTCAGCGACTGGGGAAGGGGGGTCCACAGCCCACAGCCGATCCCACAGACCGGGGGGTGGGGTCCCTGCGGCTGATCCTGCCAACATGCAACTGGCAGCGGTGCACCGCTGGCATTTCCGGGTCGGAGGGATCAGCCGCAGGGGGGCCGCTTCTCCTGGTGCACTCCCTGGCCGGCATTCTCAAGGGGGGCACCAGCACTCTTGCCTACCCTTGCCCCCTCGCCTGGGAACGCTGCTCTCAGGGGGTGCACATGCACCCCCATGCACCCTCTACATGTTGCCACTGGTTGTTTTCCACAAGATACCAGGTGACACACTCAAAGATGTGAATGATTTCATTTCCACTTGCTCTTACTTTTTCTCCCTGCTGTCGAGTAATTTCTCGATCAACTTCACAGTCCAATTTATTTCCAACTAGTAGAAGTTCTGCATCTTCTGAGGCATACTGTAAATACAGCAAAACATGGCATTTCTAACTACATCTAAGCACAAGTTTCATATGCTGTTGGAAAAAAAAAAAAAATCAATCAAGTCTCTAGTAATTAGTTGACTCATTATATTTCAATGTGTTCTATATTATCAAAACACTGTGGAAATGTTATCTTGCGAATATCCGCCCTCATTTTGCTCAGTTTTCAGATTCATACCAAGATACTAAATGAGAGCCAAAAGTTTCTCTCTGGTGAATATTATGACCTTAACACAAAGGAGGCAAATGGAATGTACTGGGTTTTTTTTGTGTAGTCAGATACGCAATGATGTGCATACTTCTACTAGTACCAATGACAAAGGCAATTACTGTTAATCAAGACCAGCTCCAGGCAGACATTTCTATGTTAGAGTAGTACTTGCCAAAAGAATAAACTAAAAAAAAACAACTCAGTTAAACAATTTACATTTTCAGTCTTCTACAAGTTTATTCCAAAACACATTTTAAGGGGACTGTAAAAATGTAATTTAAGTATTACATACTATATTCTCTACTTTTACAGAAGTGGAAGCCTACCTTATCAATCATTTTCATCCATTTTGGTAAATCATCAAATGTCTCCTTCTTGGTGATATCATATACCAATATGATTCCCTTGGCACTTCTGTAATAAGCTGAGGTAATGCTGTTGAATCTCTCCTGACCTGCTGTGTCCCTAAGAAGCAGCAGCAAACATTGGCACAAATATTTTATCAGTTAAAGAACAGAATAAGTTAGCTTGAATTTAAAAAAAAAACCCCACAAGCTAACCACATGCTAAATGTATATCCCATATTGTTCATTTCCTTCTATATATGATAATTAGAGACAATAACAGGCAAGCCAGATTAATAATTAGAAGAAAATCTCAGTTCTGAGACAGTCTACCATCATACTTAATTGTCCCACGCTAACTAAACTGGGAAAGGCCAGGCCACCAAAGCAACTTTATGCATCTTTGAGAATGGAGCTGTCCAATGAAAACATATCAGCAGATGAAAAATTAAAAAAAAAAAATTCTTAAAAAGGGAAAAAGAAAAAGATGCATGCTAATCAAGCTAACGTTGGACATCCAAGTGTAAAAGCCGCAGTGTACCTACTAACGAGATTCAAGCTTTCAGAGGGTTTTCAGATCAACCAAAAAACAATTAAGCTATATTTTAATATTTATGTAGATGTTAGTGGTAAAAATTGTTGAAAACATTAGGCAAACAAACAATACAAGGAAATGTGCTACTAATGCTACTAATTTTCAAGGCACATTTATGGCAGAGTACAATATGAGGCTGAAGGTAAAGCTCAGAACTCCAAAGTCTAGTGATTCCGAGTGCTTAATTTGGCATTTGGATCTGATTGTCAAAAAATCAGATCCAAAACAGGGGCTTTAATTTGGGTGCATTTAATAAGGTCTGCGAGCCATTCTCCAGCTATGGCACCAGTGTTCTTGTACTAACAATAGATAAGCCAAGATTTCAGGGATTTCTACCACTGTATTTTGGTGGCTACTCTTACAAGAGCTCATGCTTAGAGCAGATCGGCAAAACTTGGGAATGCCATTACTCAGAATTAAGTTATAAAGTGCTCTAGTACATCTGAAATACAGATGGTGGGAAACAAGCTTCCTGATATAAGAAATTAAAAAAATTAGTACTGAAGCAGGTCAAAAATCAGAATAAAAACTATTTCTAGATGAGAAGTATATGCATGTGAGGGATGAATGAAAAATGTTGACTGGGCTTAATCGTGTAATATAACATTTGAGTACAGAGTATGGAAAAACCTCACAAACAACTCTTTAGATACAATGATTTATTTTGAGTATTCTAAAAAAGAATGCTTCCAAAGGGCCAAAAATTGATCTTCCTCCTCAAGATTTCTCGATAGCATATATACAGGAGCTACAGTAGTAGGACAAACTGCCACAATCCCACTTTGTCTCAACCAAAACCTATAGGGACCATACTTAGATTGAGGAGAATTAGGAATAAATAATCTCTTAAATCAAGCCTTGACCTTTTCTCTGAGACTGCCACAAGAGCACCAGATAGCATCAACACTGTAATGGTGGTTTTATCATGTAGATGATTTGCCCACTAGAAATTGATCTGAAACCTCAGCTTCATATAGCTACACCAAGAATTATGAAAAAAAACCCAACCTGATGCATCATCATGAACAGTACTTGGAAGTGTGATGATAGTACTGTTGTGGGAAAGGAGGTAGAGGACAGGGAGAGAAAGAACTGGATTCTATCTTTCAATTCCCCCATGTTCCCCAAAACTAAACACACACACACACACAAAACTTTAAGCAAAAATATACTGTCTGTCCCAGCAATAGCTGGCTTTAGTTAGAAGTAACTCAATAGGTATCTAAAAGTAAAATGAAATATTATTAAAGCAATACAACTTCTTGCAACTGAAATTACATATATGGATCTCTCATCATTACAGCATTTATTTTCTCTTCAGTTCTCTCTCCAGTACAGTCACCTTCATTTTTTTGCAACGCTTATATTTCTTTATGTGAAAACACATTAAAATGTCAGTCAAAACTGTTGATTTTGCAAATACGGGTAACACCGTCTTAGGGCTTATGAACAGATTTCTCCAATATAGAAATGCCTCTGTCAGCTACATTTATGTTGCTAAAGATTGCTAAAGTGTTGGGGAGTGGATCCCATCAGTTTCATTACTTTTAACAGCCAGAACAAGAAGGAAGTGGGGGAGAGCAGAAGTGGTCTGGTGCCAAGTCAAAGCTAACAAGGAAGACAGAATTGCCTGATCAGTTGTATTATAATATCTTTGGCAGAACAGTGTTATGCTAAACTTGAATGATTTTTAAAATACACTTCCTGGGCTTCTTTAAATCGTTGACTGTCATACCACTACACCAAATGCCTTCATTGAAGTAAATGGGTGTTCTCGTTCTAGTGTCCTCAAAAGACACTTGTTCATTGAACTGAATGCTGTGCTGCAAAATCTCCTACTCTAAGTCCCACAACTCTATAAACTCAAGCCTTCACTTAAAGGTTATGCAAGCCACATCTGTAAAAATGAGCCAGATGTACAAGCACCAAACATCTGAATGGTGGGAAAGGCACAAGATGAAGGCAGAAGTTTATATTGCATGGAAATACTGAAACTAAGGCCCTAAGATTATTTTGCATGTGTAATTTACTGCACTGATGGAACACAAACACTTTCCTATGCCAAGTCCAAAAATCAGATAAGACTATTCAGCACCCATTCAACTCAAATCTCTATACAGCAGTTAGATATCTGCTCAAGTTCCTTGCTGAAGCTGACTTAAAAATTAAAATAGTGTTGGTTAATGACACTATTTTCAATAACATGAATAAATGCTAAGACTGGACACTGATTTTTTAGTTTATTGGCAAAGTAGAAGTGAAAGGACTGTATTTTTATGATCTTTTATACAGCATTATACAAAGAAACACAAACTTTTGGGCCCAAGTAGAACAAATCAATTCTTGAGGGGAATAACTCTAGGTCCTTCACCCCTGTAGCAACTCCAAAGCCAGAGAAATTGTATTCGTATTTCTTTCATAGCCTCCCATACCAACCCAGAAACTCCACTAATGTGCTCTCCTGACTCACAATTTAGGAAACCATTGAAGAGATTTGATTATTAGAGGGGAAAGAGGCACCAAATCACTTAAAGGGATGCTTCTGAAGATGATCAAGTTCATATGCAGGAAGCATATTAATGCATATTAATTCACCAACTGCTGAAGCTTCCTTAGCCTGACGAAGGGTTTTTGAACCCGAAAGCTTGCTTAATAACTATTCTCCAACCATTTGGCTTGGTCTAATAAAAGAGATCAAATTCACCCAAGGAACCTTGTCTGCCTATGTAGGAAGCATGCATACATGTGCAGTGGAAAATAAATGGTTACATGATTACTCTTTCAGGAGAGTAATTAGCTTTTTAAATAAGTTTGCATGCAAGTGATGGGCCTTTGTAATGGGATATTTGAAGTCCATTTAATAAAAATACCCAAAAAACAGATTACCAAGATTAACAGAGTTCTTGTCTTGCTGCAACAGAGTTTAAAATAAGTCAATATAAGATCTGAGGGTGCAGTAAGTTTAGAATATTACGCCTTGTCTCTCAAGCTCAGAACTTAATTTTGATAACAACTCTCAAAAAGCTCAGTGTCTTGGGGGGAGATCAGTTTTCTGGTAGGTGAGCTGTTTTACCAGGAGCATTCTCTCTGCAGTAAGAGTTCAGGGAATACATATTCTGTTAATACTACAAACAACTTGAGCAGGTGTTTTACACTAAATGGTGCTCCCCCAATAAAGATACTTGTTATGATGAGTCATTTCTGATGTTCTGAAATTAACTTAGTTTTGTTTGTTTTGCAGTTCCCATCATTACATTTCAGCCACAAAAGGTCAAAACTATCAAATGACAATGGGCAGGTGGTATAAAGCATTGGTATGGTTAGGCTATGGTTAGGTTACCAATCTGTACTAACATTAAACCATGTCATAAGCATTAATAAAAACTGCCAGATCTCAGGTACTCTTATTCAGATTTAACATAATACGAAGAGCAAAATATTTATAACCCAATGCAATAACGGTTTGATTTCTGTATGTAGAGCTCAAATGTTTGTGAAGGCTATAAACATTATTTTTTAATTTGTCCGATTGCTGGAACATGTCAAAATGCTCTGTATTGCAAATACTGTTATTACATCTGCAGTACTTTTTTGACATGGCATAGGGTGTTATTCACACTTTTTTGGTGCCCCTTTCCTTTTCAGTATCTAAGGAAATCACCTACTCTAGAATTATTTTTCAGTGTTTCTATCCCTTTTGTAAGATACCCATTTCCCCAGTTCTCAACTCCATATGTCCAATTAAAAGTTTGCTTGAACAAGAAAATTGTTTTCCAGTCTGTAGCTAATCAAGAAGTTATTCTTTAACAACTCAGAAGTTGGGGGGGGGATGGACAACTATCTTTCTCTTCCTACTTAATGACTTGAAAATGAGGGCTGTAACTTCAAGATAGCTAAAAAGCAAGATGCCTGATAACAAGGGAAAATTTTACACACAAAACTTATGCCCAAGTATTAAAGATTCTGACTTTTCATTTACATACTCATACCACATATTTGGTATGAAGTACAATAATCAGATACAGTTAGAAATCCTCTGAAAGTCTTAAATGGAAATGAATATTTTAGGTCAAACAACTACCGTTGATTTTATATAAGCACATTCAACAGAATGACAGTTAGACTTCTACCTACAAATACATCAAACCTATCCTTGAATCAAAAACAAATTTATTTTTTATGGAGGGATGGCAAGAGATAACTATGGGAAAGGTAAGTAATTTCAACCAAAACAAATAAACTGCTCATCTAGTTCCTTCCATGTTTTAAGCTTCTTTGGAAGTGGGAAAAAAATTCTAGGCAGATGCAAGGTTTTTTAAATGGTGTGTTAGCTGCATATGAAAATACCCTAGCGAAAACTACTATGCCTCTACCCTGCTTAGCAGAGAAAACTACTAAGCTGTAGGTGGAACATTTTGCAGCGTCTGGGTGCTCTGCAGAACTGCTGGGGACCTTTCCAGAGCAGTTTCTCTGGATTTCATCCCACTTCAATTCCATCAAAACTTCCCACTGGATTGTATGACAGCCCACCTGACAGGTTACTGGGGAGGCCAAGCTCCCATGTCCTGCATAGCACACCAGGCAGAGTGCTTAGGAACCAGGGCTTCCCGATTACCATACACCCAGCTCCCTAAATTGCCTAGCTTACTGGTTGTCTCTTCCTGGATTATTCTAGTACTAAAGCAGTCAACTCCCCAGGTAGCTAAATTCCTTGCTGTTTAGCAAAACAGTGCCTCTATGCTTTGAAACAAGCTTAAGAAATTTGGTTCCTGTGCCAAATTGCATCAAGGATGTAAAAATGTGGCCAAATTATAACTCCCTGAAAAGTCACATTTCTCACAAGCTCAGAGATTTGTTACGTTTTGACACACAAGTATCCAGAGATTTCATCTGCTCTATCCCCAAACATTTTCTGCCTACTGACCCAGCTAAACACACACTTCTTATAAAGCAACTGAGCATGTTTCAGCCCAAGGAGGCACAGACAACAGTTTACACTGTAAACTGTTCTTCCTTGTCCACCAAGGGGCCACTGTAATACCAGGTCTGAGAGCAGGGAAGACACCCTGGGTAGAATTTTATTACCCTTTGTGCACCTAAATGACAACACTTATTTAAATGACCTTTCTGGCATTTGTACATGGTGCGCAATTCTATTACACACACAGCGTGGACATATAAGCATTCACGTGGCTACTATATATGGTCAGTAGGCTATACATGGTGAGCATGTTACGCAGCTATCTGCATACATGTCACAATTCTGCCTGACAACCCATGACTAGTGGGTATTAGATGTTAGAGGAGGAGAAGGAGGACCCTCCCATGTTTTTGCCCCAATAGCTGAGTGGGCTGAGCATCTGCCCAGGAAGCATAAGACTCAGGGGTTTAAGGCCTTCTTCACCTACATTTCCTGCTTCCCAGCACAGTGTTACAACCATCATGCCAGAGACTAGGTATTATTATCTAGTGTCTCCATCAGCTCTTTTTTGGGAGGAATGCTGATTTGGGAGATGCGTGTGAGATGCGTGTGGCTAGGAGGAAGAAAAAAAAAAAAGCCAGTGAGCATGGCTCAGTGAGATGGATGTTGTTTTGGCCTTCCTGTTTTGGGTTTTTTCCAGGACTTATGCTCAGGTACACATGTTGATAGCTGCATACCCACTAGACCAGGGGTGGGCAAAATGCAGCCTGCAGGTTGGATGTGGCCCGCCAAGCCATTCTATCTGGCCCACGAGGCCCCCCCTAAAAAAATGTAGAAAAGTAATATATATCTGCCCCTGGCTGTCTGTCATGCAGCCCTTGATGGCTTGCCAAAACTCAGTGAGTGGCCCTCTGCCTGACATAATTGCCCGCCCCTGCACTAGACCAGTATACAGCTTACTGAACATCCAGAGCAGTCATGTGGAAGCTTACATGGTAACTGTTTAAGTTCCTCTAATACAGCTGGAAAATTACCATTTAGATGCAGAAAGAGTAATAACTGACCCAGTTTTTCCTCTTAATATTCTCCAGCAAGTGTCCAGGCAGAAAGGGAAGGATATTGCCTGCCTGGAAAATAGAGGGATGAAAAATGAGCAGATAAGAAAAGAAGAGCTAGTGATAACAGAGAACTGGGAAATGGAGAGATAGGCTAGGGATAAAGGCAAAAAGGATCTATGATCACTGAAGGACAGTCCCTACAGAACCTGAAACTGCACCCAGGACTCTGTCAATCCATACACTCCTCTGCTATCTGTACATAGCTATGAAATTCATCATCAAGGTTGTATTAGTCCCCTCTAGAGTCTGATTAATAAATTCTACTATTGCTGTTAACCTGTTAATTCAGGTGACGGAAGTCTATATTATAAACGTAACTATCTAAAACCTGCTGATGCTGCAAATTCAAGGCTAGAACAACGGCAAAGGATAAACTATGTTTACATGTTTTGTTTTGTTTTTTAAGGAAAATTAGATTAAAATAACTTAAATAAAAGTTAGAGTGGCAAAGTTGAGCATTCACAAATTAAGAAGTGACAGAACTGAGGTTCTCTGTACAGATTTAATGACGTTAGTATTGTGAAGATAAACTCAGAAATGTTTGTGAATGTCATATTGCTGTCAAGGGACAATTCTAATATCCAGGAGGAGAATAAATAACTATTTGGTCACTGCAGGGTTTGAATGTTGTGTACTACCTACAACCTGTAGCCACACACTAAGGCAGAATCCTATAGGAAAAAATGTTTGTAAGTCACACAGATAAAGACTGTATCAGAATGCCTATTCACGGGGCCCTGGAGTTAGGGATGTATAGGTAACCTTGATTCTGACATTCCAAAACTGAACTCTTGATTTCATAACCTTTAATATTATGTTAAATGTAAATACCCGCACCTCCCAAGTAATTTTTCAATAGAAAGGCAAAGCACCAAGGAATCTGATGAAGGAATTCACCATATATCAGCAAAAAGATAATTCTTAACAAATGTTTTTCAATGTGATTTTATAGGTATACTCAAGAGCTCCTAGGTAAATCATATCAAACACATGATAATGATAACAGTGTAATTTTGAGGCTGTAATCAGTATTAGAGTTTCCTTCTAGTTTCCAAATGTATATAATCAATGTGTTTCAAAGATGTAAAACTAGTTTTTTTCTTCTATTTTGTTTCTATATTGAACTATGTTCTAAATGACCATCTTAGAACCAACCATGAGTTGTTAAAGTGTGACTTTAAAGTTAAAGTTGTTAAAGTGTGACCATCTTTAACAACCATGAGTTGTTAAAGTGTGACTTGCTGAGTAAGTCACACTTTAACAACTCACTACATTTCAAACGGGAAGTCTACAAAAGATATTCTTAAGATATGGAGAAATAACTAATTCAACTCTCAGATAAAGTTTGACAAGCTATATACATTTTTGACAACATCCCCAGAAAAAATATTTGCATTACCTCGGTCAGCTTCAGTAGGCCCTGGCTAAAAATACTGGCTCAACTGCCAGCCCTGTGGTCATAGGTTTCCAAACAGGAATACAGATGAGAGATGAAGACATGCCAGTAACACTGTAGTGTTAGGTGACTGATGATACCAAAGATGAAGCAGCAGTTAACTCATAGGGAAGCAAGACAAACACATGACGCGACAAACAGAGTTGATGGTGACCTGCCAAGAGGAGTTAGTAAGCTGAATTCACTGCATCTATGTAAAATATCAAATACTACCATAACATCCCGATGGTGTTATCTCAACAATCAATGCACTTAGAATTTTTTTCTACTCGATATTAGCAGCTCTACCAGATTATCTCTAATGCCAGTTATGCAACAAATACTGTTAATACAATTTAAGCTCAGCTATTAGATATTTTATTGGGTTAGAATGTACATTAACATAGCTGGTTTATTCTCTCATAACAATGATATGCATCTTTCTATCGTGTATAACAAGGAGAATTCCTCAGGATTAGCAAATTTCTAGTACTATAAACTTAAACTTAATTAATTAATAAGCAATACCGCTTTGGCAACGATTACAGAGCAGCATATAGCTTGCTCTCAAACAGAACAGCAACTCAATCCAAACAATAAGCTTCCCAAAGCAGGACATTAATATTGTACCATCAAGATATGCAGTCTTGTTTTTAAGGGATTATTCTATTCCTTGGCACCATTTACTTAAAATAGAATGTTTAATTTGGGAGAGCTGATGTTTTTTGTTATGTGGTTACACGTGAGATCAAAGAACCAGCACCTACTCAAGAAATTTCTGATAAACAGTTCAAAATACACTTCATGTATTTTGACATGGAGTCAAGGGAACTGAAACCAAAAAATATTTTCTCCCATCTAGCATCTTCCTCCTAGTATAATGAACACATGCGTGAAATCAACTTAATTTGATTTTACTGTTATGCTATTTCTTTGATGGCTGATTTCAGTTTTCTATAGGAAAGCTTTTATACTTTCTTGTCATTCTTGTCATATAGAAATATCACATTTGTAACCTTATCCTCTCTGAAACAGCCGTTTGGGCTTTTTAAAGTCGTGCGAGGAAATTAAAGAAAAGGAACAGATGGATAAGAGCTAAACCAGCTTATAACAATTAATCATATTAGACAGGCATTTTGATCCATGCTAGAAACACAAAATTAAAAACATATTGCTGGTTGCATTTTTGTTTTACTTACCAGATTTGTAATCTAATTTTCTTTCCTCTTAGCTCTACTGTTTTGATTTTAAAATCAACACCTATAAATAAAATACAGTAAACAAAAAGGAGGAATAAGCAGCAAAAGCAATGAGGCCATAATTTAAAGTGATTTTTTGTACCTGTACATGTAATGTTATGCTAATTCAGTCATAGCCCTTTGAACAAGTTGTGAGATTCACATCACTGCTGGCCAGCTTGGGGAACTGACAAGGAATGGAGAATAGTTGATCTGTGTACCATGAGCTATAGCCTAACACTGCAGTAGTTGAAAATGTTTCTTAACCTCTCTTTCATCCGTAGAAAAATACAGTAAAAGAAAAGATAGTGCATGGCTTTTTCCGTATTCACAGGTTATAACAGAAGTCATATAGTACATTCTAATTAGGATTTCATCACACACCTCTCCTGTGGCACAAAACAGAGCAAGACCTCTCTGCTTGTTTTGCTGTCTGTAATGGGTGCAACACTTAGTCATTATTTCAGGCTTTATTTAAAGTGTTTTACAAAACACTAGACAATAAAAAGGCTTGAGTTCTTCATAACCCAACATGGATGAGTAATTTTTATATCAATGCTTTCCTTAGAAGTTCTTCAATGTATAACTACTTCAACATTTGCTGTGGTCTGAAACATATCCTATCTCTATTCAAAACACCTTTGGGTTTGAAAAATAATATTATTTTTGGTAAGTTAAAATATTCCAGCTTTAATTTTTGTTCTTAAAATGCATGCAGAAGTAAATGTGTCCATACTCTGTGGGTAACATCTCGCACATCCACTGCTAGTTTAAATATGAAGCAGGAACTTAGAACTTTTAATAAAACTAGATGGCCCTTTTTCCAGTTTCAAAAAGCATGCTAAACATTACTTAAAGAGAAACGACCTTATGCAAAGTAGTACTGCAGGATAAATTTAAAATTACAGAAAAACAGACAAGCAATAGACAGTAGAAAGTACATTACCTGTCAACAAAACCAAAGCACACAAGAATGTCCCCTCAATTACTCCAAATACCCATGGGTATTTTGTACACCTTCCTGTCTATGTTTTTTAAACCTATTATTTAACTTGTAGAGATATTTTTCTTCAGATCTTTCTAAAAGCCACTCTACCAGCAAATACTGTATCTATGAGATAAAAGATAAGAGGAGATTGGCTGAATTAATACAGTTCAACTAACACAGATGTGTAGAAGTTTACTATGTGGGGAAACCTTTTTGGTTCTACCTACCAGCATAACTTAGGAGGGGGAAGGTGAAAAACGAGGTAAACAAATATTTTGAAAAAACATTTTTTGGGGGGCTGTATTAGCTAGGGGCCCAGGCCTTGCACCATAAACTTTTATGGAAGAGAAGAAAATTTGGCCCATACATTTTTCAGACACTTTTCAACTTAAGCACACTAGAACATTTTAAAACAAGCTTTAAATAGCAAGGCCTGAAAATTACTTACATTACTGATTTGAAATATACTTTACAGTTGAGAGCTTAAGAACCTTCTGTTAAGATGATTTTATCAACAACAGGTAGAACTGTGACTAGGCAGGCAACAAGCTGGGGGCGGGGGTAGCATCAGCAATCATTTAAAGAACAGAAATTCCTCTAAATAAACAAACCACCTCTGAAAGAGCTCTCCTTACTCAATTTACTTGCTTTTAAAAGTTATTTTGTTCTCTTACTGAAAACAACCTTGAATCTTGGTTCAGAAGGGCATGTTATAAGTCTAATAAATAAACAAACAAATAATCCCCTTTCCCATTCTTTGTAGATACTGACATTAATATCCCATTTAAGGTGCTTATTCATTCAACCATATCTATACCCCTTTCCTACCAACTTTTACCTCATTTGGAATGCAAGCACCAGATATCTGCACATCAGACTTAAAATAATGCTTCTTCATTTAAAACCTTGAGGTCCCGCATCCTGTTAATTTCCACAACTGTCCAGTTTGCCTTTCTGATGTTCAATACCCTAGTTACAGACCTATTTTAATTAGCCCTGCAAGTTAGACTGAAAATAACTCTCTCTTCCTTAAGCATTGGTTTTCATTGGTCACTTGAAACCAATAATTTTATCTTATTAAAAAAAAGTTGTACTCCACTGTTTTATATAATTATATATCTTATATAATACAGCTTCCATTATATTACATTATACTAGTTAAAGCCTCTCATAACCACATTAATATCTTCTCTACTATATTCATATCCAAGCCTAGAACCTGGGACGCTATAACAAATATACAACACAATCTCATTGTGTTTTCTTTTATTTGTTGGTTTATAAGCACATGGAAATGAGGAGCAAATTTGAAAACAACCTTGAAATTAAGCATGGCTGTAGCAATTTGCATATAGTGCCCATGCATTAGTTCGTCCAGAATTGATACATGTTACCTTTTTTTGAAACTGCTGTAAGTTTTGGCATAGGTACTCCAAAAACACACTTTTGAGCAGCACTTTGGCACCTACCTGTATATAATATAAAATATTCATGATATTAGTCCAAAGCCAAAAGGCTCATGATTTACCACATAAATCAGGTAACAGAATCACAGTTTCAAGCCCCACAGCTCAGCACTGGTCAGTATGTGTATGTATTCCAGATACTCCCCACAAAGGATCCACGTGCTAAATTAGCCCCACTCACGACTGGAACCAGGTGTTCTCGTCACAAGTCCTGGGATGCTCCAAAAATGTATATGCAGATGGGGCGCAGGGCAACCTAGTCTGACTTCACCTCATGGAGGGTGGGACCACACTAATCATATGTGCCAAACTGAGATAGGGGGTGACAGAGGGATTCTGGGTGAGCTGTATGAAATGCAGTGGCCCATCATGACTTGAAAGAGACATAAATGAGAGGGACTGCACCTAATGGGCACTGCCATATGTCTTCTTCAGATGGGCTACATTAACCCATTCTTGTGGTAGGTTTCAATCAGCAACTTTACCCAATGTGGGCCATGCACGTTACAATCATGCTCAGTGCTGGCTGCATTTAATCAACTTCATACTTGGTTTCCCCTGCTGAGCACATGCTGCTTTTGGCAGCAATTTAAATACAGGCAATGTATTTGCTGAGATTTCTTTGTATGTGTTAGTAAGATGAGAGGCTTTTTTTCCTAATGCCAATCAGGGTAAAAATCTCATCTTGTATTCAAGTAAATATGGTACTTTATTCTTTCTATTCCTCTCTTTAGACTAGCTGCTCCTCTGTTCTTCCATGCAATCCTAATGTATGATCTTGCCTGTTTCTCCCCATTATGCTCAAATAAAAGCAAACAATTAATAAAAAGCTTCCTTAGTAAACCGAGTAATTATGAAATGGAATAAGAGAATACCACAACAGGCTAAGAGATTAAATTTAACCTCTGGCTTTGCTGGGACTAATATGCACCATATACCAGTGAACTGAAGCAGAACCAAAAAGCTAATAGATTACAAAGATTGTTTCGATGAAAGTACTGTCAACAGCAGTCTTATTAAAAAAAAAAAAGAAAAAAAAGACGTCCTTTCATTGATCATTTTACTGCAACAGTTTCTGAAGAAGTGTGAAGTTCCAAAAAACTATTTCAGTGACATAGATATAAAAAAAAACTCTAGAGCTAGGCAAAGGTGGTTCAATTGATTTAATTAGTTATAACATAAGACACCAATGCAATGCTAAAGGCATCACATCAGCGAATGGATGAAAAAAAATTGGCAGCTTCTTTCCTGTGCATAGTCACACAAAGGCCATAAAAATGCAATGTTGTATCACCACCCAACAGCATCTACCACATTAACAGTAGAAGGCTCTGCGGTAGCTTCTAAATTTACATACAATTCAAAAATGAGTATTTTGAAATCCAGTGGAAGTTTCTGCATAAAGCAATTCTAGTTTTAATTTCACAAACTCAGCCGTCTTTCAAATTCAACAGTTAACTCTGATATTTATTACAGATGTTCTCAAAATAAAAAAGGGGATTGAAGGAACAACCACCCATTCTGCAGATGAGTCTGAAGAGTGGGGTGGGAGGATTTGTCAGGCTGCTCCTCTGCCCAGCTCCTGGCCACTAAGAGGAACAGCAGCCACTCCTTGCTCCCCGTCTGAGGACTGGGCAGCAGGCTTTGCCTCACTGCTCCCCACGCTTTCCCTCGACCAGAAACACCCAGTTTTGGGAATGTGAGAAGAGCAGAGGAGAGGGGGTGGCTGCAGGCTGAATGCTTGTACTGTTCCCTCTCAGAAACATTTCTAGTGGTACAAGTTTTCCACTGCTAGAAATAAATGCCTGTTCATGGCCTATGTTACGCAGCATGTTACTGACAGCACCACAGGCAACGTGCAAGTGGGAAGCAATGTTGAAGGCTCTTCCTTCAATATATTCATGTTTTCAAGGCTTAGTTAGGTAGGGTATGTCCCAGTGAAATCAACTGTCCATGCACACCAATTTCCTCTTTTTAAATTCAGGCCTGGTTACGTCTATGAATATCTTCCCAGCATCTCTGAGAGAAGATTCTGAACTGAACCTGCCTGATTATCAGCAGGAAAAAAACTTTACTGTTCAGAGTGCTCCTCCCAAGACCCGAAAAGCTGCACTCTCTCTCAGCAGGGCCTTTATCAATGTAATAATTTATTGCAAGGTTATCAAGAGTAGGTATGCCAATGTGACAGTCCAGTATTTAGCAATGACAATACTCAAACTCACAGAATCAAAAGAAAGTAGGGCTGGAGGGGACCTCAGGATTTCCACCCCCTCAGATTTCCACCAGTTTTTATTACTTGACCACAGGACTACATTGGGTAACTGGAGGATATCTGGACATGGATGATCTTTCATTTAAGCTGCACATAATGAAAAATCATACAGAATTTACATTTCATATTGCTTTGCAAAATTTAAAAAGAAATCCAATGAAATAGGGCCAGGGCAAATATTCTGGTCATGTGATGCTTTTCAGTTTTTCATACATCTGTGTGTTTTACTAATTGGTGTACAGGTAACTAAATAGGTAATATTAGTATGATACTGAAAGACAGTTTTAAAGGACACA